GCCAATCGCAAGCGCCGGACACCTCCCGAGCGGGCGCTGTTGGGGGTTCGCGGGCCGCCTGAGGCGGTGGGTGGGTGGGTGGCAGCTGTGGCGCCTGCGCGTCCTGCTAGTCGAGTTGCCGCCTACTGTTTTTGCAGCTTCTTGTAGACCCGGGAGAGAAACTTGCCCGTAGTCCCTTCACCGAGCTCCTGCTTAGGCCGCCGGACTGGGGAAAAAGAAAAAAGTTGGGAAAGTAAAATAAAGCAACACTGATTTCAGGATAAGGTTACTTCTTTGGATGGAAGGGAATGGGATAAAGGAAAGGTGAAAAAAAACCTCAAGCATTTGTATATTATTTTGTTTCTTGAAAGTAAGATTTTTAAATGCTAACATTTTACCACAATGCTTCAAACTTTACAAGAAATAAAATATTAATAGGTAATTTTATTACATAAATAACCACAATCTATTCATGCATATGCACATATATATATTTTATACATAAACATATAAAATACTATTCAATGAATAAAATTATAGAAATTTTCTTTACCATTCAGCAACTTTATTCTTTTCCTTAACTTATGCTTACTTTAATACTTCAGGTACTTCAGAGCTGCAGAGCTTCCCAGGAGCTGCAGCTATCCAAGGCGTCCAGTCCCCAGCCGGGAAGCAGGATGCAGCCCCAGGTGCAGGTAGGCCAGGGCAGGAGGCGGGGACTGGGGGTGGTCACAGGCAGGCAGGGAGGATTGAGGTGGAGCAATGGGGAGGGAAGCATCGGGGTGTATGTGGGGCCCAGGTAGGCCAGGGCAGGATGGAGAGACGGGCGCTCGGTGGGACCCAAGTAAGAAGGGAAGGATGGGGCGGGATGTTCCAGGGGCCAAGGTGGGGGTATCCCCTCCCCCAACCTCCTGCCAGGGCCCAAAACAGCAGCTGAGTCCCTCCTGAGCTCCCTGTCAGACAGGCCTAGCTCTGGCATCTGAGTCCTGGCCCCAAGTTGCTACACAGCTCTCCTCATCTGGAGCCCCCTGCCCACATTTCTTCCCTGCCGGCGACCTGTGCTCAGAGACCCCGCTGGCTGGGCACCAGACCCAATGTGCCACCCCAGGGACACCAGGGGGTTCCCATGTTCTGCTGCCCGGACACCTGACACTCTGCCCCTTCTCTGGCCCTTTCCACACCCACTTATCAGCTGAGGCCCCTGTCCTGGGTCTCAGCCCTGGGGAAAGCCAGGAGGCCAGGGACCAGGGCCCAGAGCCAGAGACAGGGGGAAACCATCTGATTCCCCGCTCCAGATGCGAAATGAAAATCCGGGCTACTAATTAGGTAACAGGCCCCACATGAAGTTCAAAACCTGATTTTCATAACCCCATGTTTGGGTCCAGTGGCACCAGCTGGCTCAGGACTCCTCACCACTTTCCCCAACCAGAGGGTCCTGGGCAGTTTCTGAGTCTCCGTGTGCCTGGGTCTCTTCACCAGACAAGTAGAGGTTCCTTTTTCCCTTTTTACATTTGTAGACACGTAATATATTCCCGTGGTTTCAAAATAAAAAAGCACAAGCAGGTACACAGGGCCCCCCACTGCCCTCTGTCCAGCCCCCACCACGAGTAAACAGGTTTAGTCACTTCTAGAACTTCTTTAGATTCTTATTTTTTCTCAGTTTGCACAAAAAGACACTACCTAAAATACAGAGATCTTTCCTCATCAGTATACTAAACAAACACTGTGAAGGGTCCACCGTGCATGTTGAAGGAACGTGAGGAAGATTAGCCCCGTATTTACCTTTTCTAGAACTTGTGGTTTGTCCTTTTTCACTTAATGTATCATGTTTTTTAGAAAAAAAATTATATTTAGTTTAACATATTTTTTCTTTTATGGCTTCTGTGTTGTGAGTTAGCATTAGAAAGCCTTCCTCTGACAAAGTTAACAGAGGAATTCATCATTGTTTCCTTCCAATACTTCTATAGTTTTGTTTTTCTACATTTAAGTCTTACATCCATTCAGAATTCATCTTGGTGAATGGTGTGAATAAGATTCCAATTTTGTTTCAGATTTAAAAAAAAAATTTTGTCCTAGTAATCTATGAATTTTCAAAGAATATGAAATTCAACCCCTTGCAATTTATTTTACATAAGGCATGAGGTAGGGAGATAGGTTTATTATTTTTGTTTTTTTTCTAAATGACCAACCATTCAAAAAAACATGTAATGAGAAAGAAAAAATCTCTCTTCCCTTCCTGTTTGAAACCCCATCTTTTCCCGCAGGATATTCCCATGTGTATTGCTGGCCTGGGAAGGAGCAGGGCCGGGATACCAGCTCCCTGGATCCTGGCACGTGCCAGGCTGCATCTGGACCCCTTTGAGCCTGGCTCTTCTCAGTAAGGAGGTCGAAGACCCCATACTTCCCAGTCTAATGTGTCACCTTCTCCAGAGCCTGGGGGGCTTCCAGGAGCATCCCCGGAATTTAAAGCTAAATTCCATGTGTAGTGCATTCTTCTGAGGAAGGGTCCCCATCTTCCTTCAGCATCTCAAAGGGGTCCATGACCCACAGAAGCGTGAGAACCACTGCCCCGGCCCTGGGCCTCTCCTCCTGGTCCACGTGCACTGTTACAAGACTAGTTGCATTTTCTCTGTTTCCCTGAGGCAGGAAGAAGCTATTGCAGGCCAGGCTCCAGTAAGCTCCAGGCTCACCCCTGCCCCTGCCCCTGCCCTAGGCCTCGCCCTGTCTGTGTCTGAACTCTCCTTGAGCCTGGACAAGACCTTGCTGAGCACAGAGCTAGGAGACACCGTGTCATGACTTCAGGGTGCTTTAGGAGGTGGCCAATGTGATAGGGGAAGGGGTTTCAGAAGACAAATGCCTGGCAAGGTAAGGGGGATACAGAGAAGGCTCCCCACTTGATGCTCAGCTGTATTTCCCCAGCCCCTTCCCACCTGTCAGGCTGCAGCACCTGCTCTTCTTTCTGCTCCTTACCAGGACCTGACCAGCACACCCTCCATTTGTGGAGGAGGTGCTGGCAAGCCCAGGAGGGCCCTGGCTGTGAGGCTCGTAATGGCAGGTGGCACGGATGGATCAGGGGAGGAATTCCTTCAGCCCCACAAATGGGCTGTGTGTGGGTGTTTACAGCTCTGAGAATGATCTGCGAGCCCATGCCACCTTATCTCCTGCACTCGTAGCATCCTCAGCGCCCAGCTCCAGAAAGGTTTTCCTTTCATGCCACTGCTGAGGATAGAGGCTTATTTACGTAAGTGTGATTCTCATCTTACATAAGGCGTGTGGAGACGGGGGTGGGTGGGTAGAGGTAGAGAGCAAATGCAGCTCAGGAGACTGGGGATAAGACCAGCCCTGCGCCGGGCAGAGCTCCTCTTGATCGCCCAGCCACGCCCACCTCGCAGTGCTCCCCAAGACTCCCTCGGGGGGCTCTGCTCCACTCTACCCTTTAAACCCCTTCCTCCTAGGCAAGTTCTGGATTTATGGGAAGGTTCCTTCTTGACACTAAGCCCGTGGGCAGGAGGTGAGCTCCAGCCCAAGTGGAACAATGGAACCCACGTCCACACTTGTCTCATGTAGTCACACCAACCCCCTTACAGACAGAAATGCCACGACGCCCCCGTATGTGTGCACATGTACTCAGAGAAAAGCAGCCACGGGCTCACATGTGCACACCCGGCACACTTGTAACTCACAGGTAGACACCAGATTCACACAGGCTCTGTGTGTGACCCTCCCGTGCCCCGCACTCCTGGAGACTAAAATCAGCTGCTGGACAGTATTTCTGAATCACTGCCCCACCCTCTACCCACTTCTGGGAGAGACGAGAGCCCCCGGCACACCTTGCGTCTTACCTTCCCACAAGCAACCATGGAGAGGGCCACCTGGTACCAAAGGTGAAATTCTCCAAAGGCAAACTCCATGGCTCGCTCCAGGCACTGGGAGAGGGAGATGGGCAGCACCTCCTCTCTAGGGTCCTCCCAGCCCCACACATCCGGGGTAATCACTGCCCAAGTCGCCTCCCACAGGAGGCTGCCAGAGGCTTGTACTTGGTTCCTGCCAGAAAATACCAGTAATAACCTGGCACTGGCATGCTGTGTGACCTGGCGCAAGCCTCTCACCCTCTCTGGCCCTCAGTTCCCACCTCCCTAACTGTGAATGCCTCACGGGATGATGATTACAAGTGAGTGAAATGAGATTTATGCAAATGCTTTCAAAATGTGAGCATCCGATAAAAATAGTAACAGCTGACATTTCTTCTCACCATTGTGCTGGGCACCATTCTCTGTTCTCACGAAAATCAGGTATCTCCACATCGGGCTAACTAACCGGCTAGATGTCCCCTCCCAGGAGCAAACACCGACCCCAAGCACGCACCCTACAGAGTTTTCAGGACCACGCTGGCCAGTCTGCCCTCAGGATCCTAACATCCACGCCTCTTGGCGCGCACTCTCAAACCCGAATGGACTCTGCCGCACTGAGGAAGGACAGACTCCCATCCCCTAGTCCAGTGTCATTGCTTCTGTCTACTTGCTGGGGGACCTGCTCAGCCAGAGGCAACCCACTGATCAAAAGTTCTCTAAACAAACCCTGGCATCACACAGTCCCAGGTGTCCAAAGGAACATTTGTTTCTGGCTGTTTGGGGGGCCCAGTTTCTTCAACTCCACTTTCACTGCTCTCAGATGCATCATTTAAAAAAACTTGGTTCTCAAACCAGGGGTCCCCAGCTCATAGGCCCCAAAGGGTCCCTCAGTTCAGAGGACCCCTGGCTCCTGCTGTTCCTGCCACCCCTCCTCCAGCTCCCTTGGACCACCCATCCCCATCACACCACCCCTGGGCCACACAACCACCTCTCTCTCCCTCGCTGAGCCTCCAAGGCACGCGCGTGCATGTGTGTTTGCCCGGGGCAGGAGAAGGTGGTCTAATGAAATAATCTAAAGAGCATTTCACGCGTGCTCTGTCCAGCACACCTCTCCCCCTCAGCCTCACCGTCCACAGCACTCAGACACCGAGACCCTGAAGAGCTGAGCAGTGAATTGGGCTACTGCCCACCTCCCTCATTAAGATGTAAGCTCCATGAGGGCGGGGAGTTTTCCCCATTTTTGTTTGCTGCTGCATCTTTGGCGTCTAGAACAGGGCCACTCCGTACTCAGAGCTGCGTGAACGAGTGTCTTGTACAGGCACGCGTACCTCTGTGAGCGCCTGCTGCCCCACAGGGGATGGGCGGAGGCTCACCGCGAGCGGGAGGCCCGCCGCGGGCTCTGGGCTCCTGAGCGGCGGAGCTGGGCTCCGCAGCCACGCCCCTGCCTTGAAAGCACACGTTCCCCTCCCCCTTCCGGCGCCACAGACCCAGCACAGAGCTGTTCACGCAACATTCGGTTGACTTGCTGAGATCTTTTGTAATTACAGAAGCGGCGGGTAGGGACTGGTTAGCTCAGTCCATGTGCATTTGAGGGCAGAACCCAGGCCCCCCGATGCAGCCGTATACGCCCACACCTAAATCTCAGGAGCAAGCCGCACCCCCGCTTTGGGGAGCATGGGCTTCGGGCCCCGCCTGTTAGCCTGTGCCCGAGCCCCGCAGCCCCACCTCACAGGGCAGAGGCAGGAGGCCCAGAGCTTACCGTGGACTCGCTGAAGAGCAGCAGCAGGTGGGCTTCCTCGATGTTGTCCTTGAGGCAGTAGAAGCTGGAAGACAAAAGGCAGCCCGGGTCCAGCGCGCTGGCCGCCACACTGGCCCTGCTGCCCCGGGGTCAGCACCTGGCCTGGTAAGGCGACCCTCTCCTGCATAATCCACAGGCACCGGATCCCACTGGCAGCTCTTTATCGTGCCCCAGAGTTACGGATCTAAAAGGCTGCAGTAGGCCTAAGGCTGGAAATTCTGCGATGCTCTTGTTGCGGGGAAATGCCCCTTCCAGCCCCCAGCACTGCATGAAGCGGCCGGGGCGAGGAGCAGAGAAGCGCAAGGAAGCCACTTTGCTGGGCCGGTCGCAGAGCCTGCCTTCCATTATTGGCACAAACAAGACAGAAGGTGCATTAAGACTACTGGGAAGGCAGGTACCCTCAAATAATTTATTTGGCCTTTATGCCTTATAGGACCCCCCCCCCCGACCCCCGCATCCTCCATCCCCAAGACCTGCCTTCTCCAGTCTGTCTGGCTCCTGCTGATACTGAAGAGCCTGCCTGGCAGTGAGCTGGGTGGTGGCTAGAAGAAAGCGGGAGGCAGAGAGAGGGGCCACCAGTGGGGCTGAAACCCCAGGTATGATGGCAGGAGCCTGGCATGGTCCCCAGAGCAGGTGGGGCTTACTTGACTCCTTCATAGCGGTGAGGTTTCCACAGGGCCTATGTGATGAGGGAGTTCCCATCCTTGCTCATGAACTCGGGCAGTGGGTGGGACAGGGGGCCCCAGGAGCACTCCTTGCTCAGGGAATGCAGCAGGACCCCCGCCAGGTGCTTGACCGCCATCTGGCAGAGAGGGAGAAACTCAGATGCAGGCACCTGTCGGCTCTCCCCTGCCATGGCCTAGCAGGCCCTCCACCCACCACCCAGCCAAATCCGCCTGCTTGCAATGCGCTGCCCCTCTGGGAGGCCCATCACTCCACTCCCAAGGAGCCCCTTTGCTTCTCTGTGTCCCCATCACTGAGCTGCCCACCCCTTCTGTTGGCCTTCGATGGCTCCTCCTTTATCTTTTCTCCTCACTTCTCTCTGAGATCACCTTCTGTAAAACAGTACTACACTTTTTATCTGTAAGCTTTCAAAATGCTACAATATCATTTTATTTTAAAACATACCAAGTTTCCAACATTGAATTAATGGTTCTTACCTCACTTTCATGATAGATTAGTTAAAATAGCTCCTGTTCATAAGAAGATCTATTTACCTTGAAGTTTCTTTTCTGTAAAAGTCCCAGTCTTTCCCCTCACCCACTTCTTTACTCTGAGAACTTGGTCCCTATTTGAAGTAGAACGACTTAGTTTCCTTTAACAAGTGCTGATCATCTCCCATGGGATTTGGATCATTTCTTACTCTCCTTGATCTAGTGGGGGCTAAAAAATAATGTGAATTATTCTTACTAATTTATTACTGTTTCTTCTTATTTCTCCTTGAATTTTGCTCTGTGAATGTTGATGTTATACTATCTGGTGCAAAGATAATTATAAC